AATGTGTCATTTTGTCCATAGTATATGTCATTTTGTCCATAGTGGATGATCTCGATTAAACTAACAATATTTTTTTCCTATTATTTTAATATTGTAAATGTTTAGTATATTTCATAGGTAAAAAACCAAAGATGATTGGTGTAGAATATGACAGTGCGGTGATTTACCAATAAAGAGTTATGAACCTAAAATAAAATCGTATGTCATTTTGTCCGTATTTTCCCTAATTGTTATGTAACACCTACCGCTGAGAATGATGAGAATTGCCGAGAATCAAACGAACTGTTTTCAATTTGATCAATTTTCTGGAACGTTTACAATCGTTCTATAATCGAACCAATATACAATAACAAATTCGAATTTAAAACTGTTCGAACATTTTTAAAATTGAAATAGATAAAAATATTTATAACAATGTCTGAAATATTATCAATTTAATACATCTAATTACTCAATGAAAATTAAATGTAGTTGAAAACGAAAAATCGCATCTAAAATAGTACAGTAGAAGCCGTTCTTCCGGTTAAGCCTTAATCCACTCCCTCTCCTCCCCGCGGGGGAATTTCGGAAAATCCCTTCTTAGTGCGCGTTTTCATGACGTACCCTAACTGTGTACCAAATTTCACCCCTTTAGGTTCAGCGGTTTGCTCTGGGCGATGATGAATCAGTCAGTCAGGACAAGTAATTTTATATATTTAGATATACGTTAAAGCAGAGTTTTCATATTTTGATTAATAAAAAAATGTTCATATTTTCAACATATATTTCTGAATAAGTTTTTTATTTGATAATACATTTACATTAAATTATCATTATTAATAGTTTTATTTATCAAACCTCAAATTTGTTTAAAACAAATTTTAAAAAAAAGATTTAATATAATTTCAGGGATATTGCTTTTAAACTAAGATAAAATTTAATTGTCATAAAAAGCAGTTTATTACTTCACTTCTTTAATAAACTGTCCTTGATAAATGGTAAAAGTATCTATAATATTAATTTAATTTTTTCTGGAAATATTTAAATTTACTTTAAAGATACGATTTCTCTATAAAAAATTATGTCAATTTAAATAAATGTCTAAATGTACGATTTTTATTTTTTAATTAAAACGTATAATTAATCATTCATTATATTTAAATATTATATTTTTAATTCTTAGCAATTGAAATTATTAAATATTATTATTGTTCTTAATTAACGTGATATGAACAACTTTAAAGATGATATAAATTTCTTTAAATAAATTTAAAAACTAATGTAATTATTAATATAAAACAGCAAATTCTCTTTTTTATTTACTTTTTTAGAAAATCATTGAGTCGTCATACATCTAAGTTCGTTTCCTAGAAATTACTTTTAAACTATATAACACCATACTAGAATGAAAAAAGTATTAAACACGATTTTTCATACAATTGTATACAAAATTTATACTAATCATAAAAATTTCCGGTCGTAACGAGATTTCTATTAATTTCATCGTTTTTTTTCGTCTTATAGATGAAATTTTTAATTTATTTCATTTATTTAGTTTATTAATTTTTATTTGAAATTTAAAGCAAGTTTTTAAACGATCAGAATAATTCTGTTTTTTAATAATTTTTCAAAAGAACTCTACAAGGAAAATTCACAGAATTTTAATGATTGTTGTCACAACTTCCATTGAAAGGAAAGGTGAGAAAGCTGTATAAATAATGGAATTCTTGGAATAATACAGATAATAATGTTTTTAATACAGTTTTAGAAAATTATTCAACATTGTTAATAAATTTATATTAAATAAAATATTATGTTTAAAACTCTTATGGGTCGAAATCATGACGCAATCAAATATGCCAACACAATCGAAAGCCTCATATCGTAATTGTTTCTACAAATTTTTAACCCGATAAAATTTTGAAAGAAAATTTTTATTAATAAATTTTTACAGAACTCGAGGGATTCTTATTAACGGTTCAATACAAATAGTTCAAGCAAAAAAGGGCACAAATAAATTTAACTCAACAAATGTTTAATGTTCCATTTAACAGTTTGTTCTCTGTCAAACAAATACTCTGTAAAGTTTGCTTAACAATAATAACTATTATTTATACAGATATATAGATATTAAATATTATATTAATAGATAACACGTTATTGCCCAATAGACTATTTTTTACAATAAAGTTTATGATTAATGAAACTGTGAACAGTTATAATCACATATAAAACATTCACACTATAGAGTTTATTCCATATCTAAAAGATATAGAAAAAAAATATTTTAAAATACCCAGAAAAAAATAGATAAATAATCAGTCAATCTAATAAAATAAATATAAATTATATTAAGGTAAATGGATTGTGGAAAAATATCGTGAAAAATGAATGCGTTTAATGTAAGTTACTTTCTTTCTTAGACTAATGTAATATGGTACAACAACCCATAAAAAACGTTAAGCGAGTAAAAGAGTGTGGCTAAATATTGTTATCATGTGATATTTGTTTGCCAAAAAATATTTTTAAAAATTATATTAAAATAAGTATTTTGTAATTATTTTAGTGATATCTTTAAGATATAACAAGTTGCTAAAATTAAGATGGCAAGCTTAATTAAGATGACACTCTTATAAATATGAAACAAAAATTAATTAAAAATTTAAAAAATACTTTTGTTTTCGTTAAAGTTATAACTCGTATATTTATACGAATATTAAGGAAACAGTTTGAGTTAATAAAACAAAGAATTGTTTTAAATTAATGGCGTTGATTGACTACATGAAACACAAAGATTTAGGGTGAAAACTTATATGATGTAAAATTCAGTAAAAAATTACTTAAAAATTTAAAAACAACACTTTCATTGTTAACATTTCTCCCGCGGGGAAGTACTTCGCACTTTACCTGGGTAAACCGCGATGTTTTATTTTATTTTTTGCTTTACTCAAGGCTGCCGGGTAAAATGTGTTATCGTACATCATCATTTATCTTCATTCTTGGCATTACCTATACATATACATATGTAAGCAAGAATGCCATTTTAATAATTTTAAATCACATCATTAAATTCCACGAGTAAAGTTACGTCTATCAGATCTTTTTTGGATATTTAGACAGTTCTCCTTTCATCTGTATAGTGGACAAACAAACACATAGAAAATATATAAATATATATATATATATTATATATATGCATACAATAAAAAATTTATAGATGGATCAGTTGATTGTTTATAGATATACAATTATATTATAAGTTACAATATATATAATAATGTATTAATAAATTTTCATTTAATTTAACTTAAGCGTACTTAAACACAAATTCTTGAATGCCATTTATATTATGCGAATGTCAATTAACGTGGTATTTATTAATTAATGTGATTTAAATAACAACTTCATCGGTGATTCGTTGCATAACACAGGACGAGATCTCGGCGCCACTGACTTCTGAACCAGTAGTCTTATCGTTGATTAGTCAGATAGTTGAGTTTCTTTAACACAGGAAATATAAGGAGTTGATCATCGGTGGCCGGCTCTTTGCTGATTAGTTTGTTCGACAACTGGAGCAAATATGCGTTTAAAGTTTTGTTTATAAACCGAATTGTTCGAAAAGCGAGGCGTTCGAAACCCAAAGTTTCACTATATCAAAACCACAGTGAATATAAAGATGTTCAGAATTAATTTCAACCGTGTGATAACCGCTTGTTTACACGCATTAAAAATAATTTATTGTTTAAATGTTATTAATCAATAAATCTAATACTCTTTTAAATATTTTTGTTAAAGTTTTTCATCTTTAACGTTACAAGTGGCATTGTTAACTTATTGATTCACTCGCCCCGATGCCGGTATTTGTTTATAGTCAAGTGTTTAATTTCATTATTTATTTCATATTTTATTTATTTCATTATTTATTTCTATTTATTTCTATTTATTTCATTATTTGTTTAGAAACAGTCGTATAGTCGTATAATCGTATACTCTTAGCAAAAATCAAATTTTATTGTCTTGTTATTATGAAAATTTATAAAACAAGACTGTCTAAAACTATGAAAAAAATATCGAACTATTCCAAGAATGTAATTATGTGTACATAATAAATAATAATTTAAAACATAGTTAATTAAAAAATTTAGCAACGAGTTGCGTAACTTTCCCGACTTTTATGCGATTTTATTTAAAAAATAACATTTGTATTATTAATCAAAATAAATAACTAAANATATCGCTAAATGCATTAAAAAGCAGTTTTGCTATCTGTTTATCAACGTCTGAAATATTAGCAGTGCCGGCCCGAGACAAGTCTTAGGATGGAGCGAGATCCTATTATGGCGCCCCTTGGTTCCCCCTAATTTATACCCTTTAATTTTCTTTACCACTAAGGCGCCCCCTAGGACTTAGCGCCTGTAGCGGCTGCTCCGTTCGCCCTATGGTAGGGCCAGCCGGCCCTACCATAGGGCGAACGGAGCAGCCGCTACAGGCGCTGTCCTAGTGGCGCCTCAGTGGTAAAGAAAATTAAAGGAAAAAATATTTTTTTCATTTTTCGATATTTTAATTGCAAGCGTGTGGCCAGTATGTGAATGGTCTTATCTGTTGAGACGCGCGTGGGTCGAGGGCGTGGGCGGGGTTCCATTCCCGGGCGCCATAATAGGATCTCGCTCCATCCTAAAATTTGCCTCGGGCCGGCACTGTTAATGTCCTTTATATAAAAGCAATCGTGCCAATTTTCGTTTCTTTATCTTCACCCATCCTGAGATATCAACGAAATAGACGCCAACACATACAGACACAAATATAAATATCCACGGAATTTATTTGCCTTTTTTTTTACGGTTTTGGATTCAGGAGGTCTCAAAAAGTGGAGATTTCCAAAATCTCGAAAAGCCAAATTTGACAGGATTCCATTACTTTCTCTTGTTATGTGTATATAACAGCCGAAGAAGTAAAAATTGTTTTATTATTTATATTTTAAATTTTATTACAGTGATACGTGTAAAAATTATACGGTATTTTAATACACACGCTTTATGAACATTTTATAAATTTGTTTATTACAAATTTAAAGAAATTTTAACAAATAGATTTCAAAAGTTCAATGAACGTTTGGACATTTATTGATTGGAACGCAGGCACCACTGGTAGGATGACGAGCCAAATTTCTCTTGCAGACACAGAAATCATTATCTGCGCGATTGCATTCATATACACTCCCACCTAATGTTAATCCTGTACATTTATTTTCACAATCGTATCTCTTTGTTATTTCTCCTTCAAACCGACACAGGTTTACTTTATCTACAAATATATGACATCAATGTCTTAAAACTCTAATATATATATATATATATATCTTATATACAGTCAAACCCCGTTAATACGCTATCGGTTTAGGCGAAGTCGATGTTAATGCAAAGCAGATTTTCAGTCTCGTTGATGCGAATAGGCAATTCGATGTTATTGAGTTCGGTTTATGCAAAATAACGGCTAATATGTAATATAAAACTTGTCGTGGAACCACGAATTCAATAACAATTATATTACGTCGTTTAGTACAAAGTACAGTGCTTCAGGTTTCCTCGAATCAAAGTGGAAAAACACACGTCAAGATCAGGAACGCGTTTTTCTACTTTAACGTTGACCACAACACTTACGTTAACGTTGTCGTCATTGATAATCCATTCATTGGACATATGCCACACCACCGACGTTCACTTCAAATCGCAAAATAACTTTCTCTTATAGTCGGCACTTTGATTTATATTTGTATTGTATCTGTGATAATGCCAAACGATTTATGAAGGCAGTTGACATTGCAAACTGAAAATCTTTTTGTTTTCTCTTTCTTCCTTCTGTTTATTTTATTATTAAGTTATGGCAACACAACACTTGGGCGATCTGCCGTTTGACTTTTGACATTGGATGGTGTAACCGTTGATTTTATATTAAGCAAACTTTATATAATCTGATATGAAGTTATCTTATATAAACTTTACATAAAACATAAACCTCGGTAATATCAATTACAAAATTTTACATCCCTTCAACTTTGCATTAACGGAGTTTAATTGCATATAAAACGGAGATTTATAGTATATTTAATTATTAAAGGGGTTCATGGAAGAAAGGGGCAAGTGACATTTCAAAAACAGTTCTTTTTTCATTTTGAAAAAGTCAACAGGAGATACAATTATTAATGCTTCCGGAAAATTCTAGAAACATTAACTATTGTTTAATAAATATTACTGTATTTCTTCGTTTGCATTAATAGTTTTTCAGAATAAGTACAAAACTGTATCCTTTAATTTCTCAGAAACTTGATTTTGCTGGTTACCTCCTTCTTCCACAAACCCTTTCAATTAATCTGAATAAATACAAAAGAAACTCACTTTTTGGGCATTCTTTCTTGAGGATACACTCTCCAGTTGAATTTCTAACATATCCGTTTTTGCAGAAACATCCTTTATTACATGAAGCTAAGCACGGTTTTAAAACACGATAATTGTCGCAAGTGGCTTGGCATGGTGAACCACATTTTAAATATTCTTCATTTGGTAAACTGCAAATTTCTTTATTTTGAATAGAAAATCGCTTTTCCAATTGAGATTCTAAATCATTTCCTGGAATAAATTAATAGTTAGAATATACTTTTTAAAATTTTTTATTAAAAATTCATTACCTTTCTTGCATTGATCTATTGGAACACAATGATTTTTCGAGTTTCTAACAAATCCTTTGTTACAGACGCAACCGGGTTTACATAATTGAATACATGGACGAACTTTCCCGTAATTATCACATGTTTCTGGACAAAAACTTCCGCATTCGTCATAGAATTCATTTTCTAGGCATTTTACATAATGCGAATTCCAAAACTGGAATCTAAAATCTAAAAGAAAAGAAGCGGAATTTACACAATTTTTTGAAAGAATACATAAATAAATTATTTACCGTCAGCTGAAAGAACCGCAAGTGGAAGCACTAAAATAATGCAGATTACTTCCAGTACAGAATTCATGTTGAATAAGAATATGCTAAACTCGAACTAGACTTATATTATATAGTGTCCGCAATTCAAATAGAAAAGGTTATTGGCATTAAAAATGAACAAATTTCATCCTTTGTTACACAAGATTTTACAGGATATCCTAAAAGTTTTAGTTATTTTGATCCACACATTAAGCAACAAACTAATATAATATATTTTCGTATTAATTTTTTATGAAAAATATTTTTATACAGTACGTAGTGTATAAAAAATATTTTTTTTTAATTGACAAATATTTTTAAAATGTTAATTTATACTGTATATCGATCTGGGTAAACTAAAAATTATAAATGTACAATAAACCTGTGTTTAACAAACACTTCCGAGACCGAAAACAAATGTCCGTTGCAGAGATTCTGTAAAAAGTACTTTTAAATGTAGTCTAAACTATTTTTTATTTATGAAAAATGTTTATATTTATATAATCATGCAAAAAATAGTAATATGACATATAAAGTAAGTGATAAGTTATTAAAAGAAGGTCAGAATTATTATTTTTTGTTTTAAATTTAGTAATTTTTTACAATTGTTTGTAGCAATTCGCTTCTCACTATCCATAATTAAATCTTGTAATATGCTTTGTACTATCTGCGTCTTTTCTATAAACTCAAAACTGTTTGAATTTATAACTCTACATTTGTCTATCTGAGAATTCAATGACATCGTCATATCATTCCCTTTCTTGAATCTTAGAAAGTGACTGAAAGATTGTTTTTGTATCTTGGCTTTTAGCACTCAGTTGGGATGTCAGAATCGGTCTACGTAATGGTTTGCAGTGATAATAAATTACAGTACAGTATAATAAATCTTGCTGAATTCGTGAGACTGTTGTCTCCATACCATTCACAATAGCTGCCACAAAATTACAAGCGTTCTAATTAAATTGCTAAAGGAAAATTCGGTTTTAAAGAAAGAACTCTCCAAGCACTTGAAATCAATGAAATGACTTGGAAGACACCAACTTGTTTTGTCAGCGTTTTGAGCAATGTTTCACGATGTATATTGTAATTGACTGTACAGTACATTTTCAACTGTGTGCTTAATAACTGCTTGTACTTGAGTTTAAAATTCTGAATTACTCTGTGGTTCAAAGTTTGATAGAATGAAATGATATTCAGCGGTAGAAATACAGTCTCGGCATTCTCGAGCTGGATGTCTGGATGTAATGCAGCATTGTCAAGAAACAAAACCTATTCTGTCATCATCTAAGCCAGGGGTGTCCAATCCGCGGCCCAAGGCAAGTTCCAATGCGGCCCAATAAACGCGTAAACAAAACCGACAAATTGTTTTATTTTATTTATTTATTTATTTCAACGAAATGAACTCAAAAAAGAAGTTTCACAACCATAAACCATAAACTATTCAAAACCATAAACTATCATACATATTTTATTTTTGAGTGAAAAGGAAATATTTTCAAATACTTGGAGATGTGTGAATGACGAAGGAATACTAAATAAAGCTGAAGTTGTGACTCAAAGGATTAAAGACCCAAATTTGAGAAAAGGAGAGAAAGGCCAAAAGATAAAAAGTAGTGAGGAAGGTT